AATTATCATTAATTTGCTAAAATTAAAAATTGGACTTTAGGCCAAATTTTTGACTTTTTGCTAAAGTGCAAGTATGACCTATATAAGAGATGTCCGGGGTCCTGACTCACCCCAATATGACACTTGACTTGAAACAATCAAAATTACGACTTTCTTCTAGAAATATAGATGAAAATCATATTACTCTAGGACTCTTTGATGTTCGTATTAAATGCAAAAATCAATCACAAAAAAATCATATAGAAAGTATAAAAAATTATGGAGAAGAAAAAGCAACTAAAATGTTTTTAGACATATTTCAAAATTAATGTTAGAAAAAAAAAATCGATAGTTATTGATAATATCAATAATATGTAATAAAATCTAAATTATGTAGATCAGTTATAAAAAAAATTTTGTATGTATATCTGATATCATTTTAATACATGACTATACATATATTTGATTTACATAGTGCATCGAACACTCAATATGACATTAAGGTATTCGATGTACTATATAGATCAAATAGATGTGTAGTCTCATAGTAAAAATAAATAGTGAATTTTTTTTGTATAACAAAACCGATAATTCATAGTAAAATCTTTAAATTTTGACATATTTTTACCAATTTTATTATATATTTTTTATTTTTAAAAAAAGTACTCTTTTTGTCTAAAGTATAGGACCTGCTAAATATTTATGCAAAATTTTTAAAGAAGTTAATAAGTAAATTATTGAGGAGATACGGTTTGAATTTTAGTAAATTTTCATAGTGTTTTCATAAGAAGATGTTAATTTTTTAACTGTATTTCCTCAATAATTTACATATAAACTTCTTTAGAAATTTTGCTCAATTGCTCACCAGGTCTTATATTTTAAACAAAAAGAGCGCTTTTTTTAAATTTTTTTTTTAAAAAAATTTATTTAATTTCAAAAATTTTCAATATTGGTTACACAAATTCAGGCATCACGCAGGTGACAATTTGCTAACAATATATATCTGCATCTAAATAAATGCTAATTATAACTCTATGTGATGTTGGGTTGATAACTATATAAAAAATGTGCGGTTATCGAATTTGTTAATACTGTAAATCTCAAACTTCTCAACCATTTTACTAATACCTTTGCCTCTAATTAATTGCATTACTTGCGTTACAATTATTTATTTATTGATATTATAATTACATAGAGCAATTAAAAAGCATATATAGTTTGTTAACAAGATTGTCAAGAACTTGACATATAATTCAAAAAACAAATGCGATTTTTACCGTAGCAATTTGGATTATTCCCTCTTATTATTAATAATATAGTAGGAAGCAATAAGAAAATATATTACAAGAAATAAGATAATAGAGTAGCTAAAAAT